TAACCATCAGTTTATTCTCTACAGTTAAAAGTCTCTCTTATGGTTTCTCTCCTTTTTTTTCTTTCCCCAATGTTCATCTGCTTTGTTTCTTAAATTCCACAATAAATGAAATCATATAGTATTTGTTTCAGAAGAGAGATTTACATATGTATTAATGTAACATATGGTTAGGGAAAAATTACAAATCAATGGGTAGGAGGAGAATTATGTAATAAACCCAATTAGGTTAGATGGTCTTAATTTGAAAAATATCAGTGTAGGTACCCAATGCATAATAAACATCAAAATAAGTTATGATTAAAGACTTAAAATATGTAGAAAGAAAACAGACTGATTTATCAAACTTCTGGGTGATAGATAACTTTACAAGCTTAGGAGCAAAATATTTATAAAAGATATGTAAATATACAAAATATGTGTGTAAAATATATTAACATGAATATGACTATGAATATAAATATAAATATAAATATGTGTGTTTGAATATCCATCCAAAAAGAAAAAGAATGATATACTTGGTCAAACAAAAAATTTAAAAATACACACACACACACACACACACCCGAATTAAGTAAAAAGTGAAAATAAAAAAAGGAAGAAAACCATCATTGATATAAAAAGAAAGTAACAAGGCAGGAGAGAAAATATGTCTGAAAAGCAGTTAGTATTTTCAAACAAAGAGCTCATGTAATCTGCTATAAAATATATGCCCTGACTGATCCATACAAATGGGCAAAGGATAAACAGAAAACTCAAAAGTGGCATTACAAACCGAACAGTACATGAATTTATACTCAATCTAAAAGCAAACAAGGAAATTCAAATTATAAGAATAAAACATTTTAAACTATTAAAATAGGATTTTAAAAATACTTGAAACACTAATAAGAAATGCTTATATAGAAATAGGCCCTTAAGTTTTTCTGGTGAAATTATTAATTGTTTCAATCTTTTCAGAAACCAAATTGGCCATATGTACCAAATGCTAAAAATATTGATACTCTTTAACCCAGTGTTTATTTTTAGAAATATATGCTTTTAAAGGTCCAAAATTTAGGGGTGCATGGGTGGCTCAGTTGATTAAGCATCAGACTCTTGATTTCGGCTCAGGTCATGATCTCACGGTTCTTAGGTTCAAGACCTGCGTCAGGCTCTGTGCTGGTAGCGCAGAACCTGCTTGGGATTTTCTCTCTCCCTTTCTCTGCTCCTCACTTCCTCTCTCAAAATAAATAAAAAAGATTTTTAAAAATCTTTAAAGGTCCAAAATATGGAAAAATATATATTCAAGATATCATCAAGCCATTATTTAGTTTATATATATAAATATATATATTTTAACCCTAAAGCGAAACAAAGAGAGCTTTGGTATCTAGTAGCAGAGGACATTTAAGAGTTAATAAGCTAATTAAATTATTGTTACGGAAACTATTTAGTGACCTGAGAAAGGTTTGGTATGGTAAATGGGAAAACAAAGAATATCAAATTATCTGCATACTATAATTAAAACTTTAAGAAGTTTCTTAAATAGGGGAAAGATGAAGGAGATACTAGTATGTTAGTAGTGAGTATGCTGGAAAGGCCGGATTCTTGATAATTTTTTTCTCTTTTCCAAATTTCTATTACATTATATGACCTTTATAATCAAAACAATCATTTAAAAATCACAATAATTATTAAAATTATGAATCAACCTAAGCAAATATACCTATGCAGGGTATAAAAATATCAATATACTTTGGCCATAACAAAATTTTAAACACATTTGATTATCATTATTGAGAACAGATTCTTATGAAAATATATGATTGTTTTGTTCACTTGCAAGCATTATGTGAAATTATTCTTTTTCATAAACTCCTAGCATCCTCCTTTTTTATATTTATAAATTTGGTTTTTTAATTGAAAATAAATCATTTTAGGGGAGCCTGGTGGCTCAGTCAGTTAAGTGTCCAATTCTTGGTTTTGGCTCAAGTCATAACCTCACAGTTTGAGAGATTGAACACAGAGCCTGCTTGGGATTCTCTCTCTCTGACCATCCCCAGCTCACACACACACTCTTTGAAAACAAATAAAAAACACATAAAAAAAGAAACACTGATTTCTTTTTTTTTTTAATATATATTTTTTTAATTTATTTCTAGGAGAGAGGGAGAGAGACAGCGTGAGCAGGGGAGGGTCAGAGAGAAAGGGAGACACAGACTCTGAAACAGGCTCCAGGCTCTGAGCTGGCAGTCAGCACAGAGCCCGACGCGGGGCCCGAACTCACGAACCGCGAGATCATGACCTAAGCGAAAGTCGGACGCTTAACCGACTAAGCCACCCAGGCGCCCCAAGAAACACTGATTTCTACTATGCATTCATTGCCATTTAGTTTAACTTGGTTCATATTTATTTATTTTCCCACATGCTATATTTAAAAACGTAAAGGATTATTTATGAAAGCAAAGCCTTGGAGTTTAAGATAAATATTAAGTCATTGAGCAATATCTCCTCATGGACTTCTGTTATAAGACTTAATGTTTCATGGGGGAAAATAATTTTAAGGTCCAACAACAACAAAAATCACAATTAAGAAAATACAGAGCTATAAAGTCATATGCTTAAAAGAAAGCTTGGTTTGTATTCAAACCAAGCCCTAAAATATGACTTAACTGACATAAATTGTATAGAACCTGAATCTCACCAGAAAGTAGATTCTCTGCTCCACACTAGTCATGTAAATGGAGTTAGTGGTTCCTTGGCTCCTTTCCTTTCAGCCATTTAAGAGCTACTTCTTTTTCAAGCCTCAACATTTTAACTATTACTTCAAAAAGCAACTAGTATGTATGTTCTCTCTTAACCATTTATCTGTATTTGTTAAAGCTGTGGGAAGTTGTTAGTGCATTCAGAAAACTCTTTATAGTTGGCTGCTTTTTCTTTCTATATATCAGAGTCCACTTGATGTTGAAGTCTGTCGCCTAACCAACAGAGTCACCCAGGTGCCCCAAAAGTATACTTTTGAATAAAGTGTTAAGTAGGATGACTTAACAGCACTCCTAAATTCTTACTTGTCGTTATTTAGTTGAAACTGAGTAGCAGCTTTGAATAAACTGAACAGGCAAGAGAAAGGAGGAAAGGCCTCATTTTTTCATTGTTCTTCAGTAGATGAAAACTAGAAGTGTAATGAGCAGCTGATGCAGTGATCTGGAACAACCCTAAAATTAAATGGATAACTGAGGATGAATTTGCCTTCCACAGGGAAAACAAAGAAAGCTTTAGCTCAAACAGCTTTAGAGGATGCTTTTAAGGAGCCAGGTCATCTAAACTATTTGAAAATTTTTTTCAGTTGCTAAGAATGAAACGTTATTTGAGGCAATACTTTTACTTACTAGTATGAATAAACTAGTATGTGTATCTAATATAGTGAATCTGTGCATTATATTTATGCTCATTAATAGGCTTCAGAATATGCTTTATAACTTGAAGTGGGATTTAAAATGATTAATTTTTAAAAATTTTCTGAGAAGTCAAATTTCATCTATCCAGTGCTAAGTCTCAAGGAAGGAATTACAAAATTGTTCTTAGGCCCAATCTCCACTGATTTGTCTTTTTTTTCTTTCAGATTAAAATCAGTTAACATACAGTGTAGTACTGGTTTCAGGAGTAGAATTTAGTGATTCACCACTTATACCCATGCTTATCCCAGAGTGCCCTCCTTACTACCCATCCCCCATATAGCCCATTCCCCACCCACCTCTCCTACAGCAACCCTCACTTTGTTCTCTATATTTAAGAGTCTCTTACGTTTTGCCTCCCTCTCTGTTTTTATTTTATTTTTCCTTCTTTTCCCCTACGTCCATCTGTTTTGTTTCTTAAATGCCACATATGAGTTAAATCATATGATATTTGTCTTACTTGGTGATCAAAAAGAGTGAAATCTTGCTATTTGCAACAATGTGGAGGAACTAGACTGATTTCTAAAGATTAATTTGGCAAAAAGTCAAAAACATATGGAAGAGTGTACATATACATATACACACATATAATTTTCTAAAATGAGCTTTGAGAAAAAACAATAAAAACAAAAAACAAAAATACAAAAACTCCAAACTTAAACAGATCCCTATCCTGTAAGTATCAAGTCCAAAGTTTTCTGGCTAGATTTACTTGCTGATTTCTCCAAAGGTGAGCCTTCCCTGGCTGTTTGCATGGTTGAGTTTCAACTTCTAAATCTCAGCTCAAATGCCTAACGTTTGAGTAGGTGCATGATAATCAAGAGAAAAATGAAAAAATGGAAGTCATAAAATCCCTAAGTCCTGACTTCAGTTTCTACCTCACCAGATTTACAAAAAGCAAATGATCTGCTTAATGTAATCTTAAAGTGATAAGCAATGAAAGAGGGAGAGAAAAGCACAGGATAGCAGGACTCAGAGCCTTCATAATTGAGAAGTGATTATAGTATGTGCGGCAAACTAGAAATAATACTTTTACATCATTTCCTTACCAGTTTTTCCCTATACACACATCTCCATTTTTATTTTTAGTTTTTTTTTAAACATTTCAGATTTTTTTAAATGTTTATTTTTGTGAGGGAGAGAGTGTACACATATGAGTGGAGGAGGGGCAGGGAGAGAAAGGGGCAGAGGATCTGAAGTGGGTTCTGCACCCACAGCAGTGAACCCAAAATGTGATACAAACCCATGACCTGAGCCAAAGTCAGATGCTCAACTGACTGAGCCACCCAGGTGCACCACACCTCTCCATTTTTAAATAGAACATAAAAACTTTGAAGTTTAAAATCAGTAGTTATATGTAGCCTCCTTAAATTTTGAAGTATAATGCAAGTAAGAAGAACATATATTATTTATATATAAAAATATTCCATTTAGTTATGGAATATAATTACTTTTCTAAAATGAAGTAGCAAATAATCTGCATTAAGACAGTTACGCATGTAATTCACCTCAATATTGTAAATACTACTGTTCAATAATTTTCTGGGTAAAGGTTAGTTATCTCACCTTGCACTTTGGACACTTTTGGGCGTTCCTCTGCCCATGCTCAATTTCGCTGGCCCAGTGACGCAACAACTTGTCTCCTTTCTTGTACTCTTTGCAGTTAACACCTTCATGCCAAGGAGAGTGGCACTTAAAACACCAGACGAATTGGCAAGTGGGGCACTGGATCTGTATAAGGAAAAGTAACATTAAGCACTGGTAGACATATTGAAAGTTTCTAAAAGGGTAAGAATGATGATGCTTGAGGAAAATAGCTTCAAGGTTATAATCTGTCCAGATTAAAAATATTAGCCTCGCTTTAAGATTAAACTACAATGAGATGTGACTGTTCTATTATTAAAGGAGGAAAGAAGTGCTTTGAGATGGATGGTAAGGGTGCTTGTAAACTATACTGTAACTAAACACTGGAACACTCTGGAAATTATTTTGGCCTTATGAAAATCTTCCAGAATGAAGCACAGAGAAAGACCTGGAGTCCACAATGCTCTGAACCTACACACTCAGGCTGCTGCCCTGAAATTCACATTTCCTTTGAACCAATTTTCCAGGAATTTCCATTTTTCTTCTTACCATTGGCTTCATTCACTTTTATAAAATCAAAGCCCCACAGATGCTCCATCAAATGAAAAACACACTGGCAAATAAACCACTATACCAGCATTTTCTAGGAGGCACCCTTTCAAATAAAGCACATGACTCATTTGCTATTAATCTTAGGGAGGTTAATTATAAAATTAATACAAAGGATCCTATTAGAAATATACCCGTATGGTGATCCTGTGGCCTGTACCTAGAATTCCATCAAAAAGATGTCTTTGTATTTTCACTATGCAGAGGTGTATTTGAGAGTATGTTTACGTTCATTGAAAATATTGGTTTTCCACTTGATATAGAAGACACTTTATCTGACTTCCTTCATTTTGAATGATAGTGAGATGTCCCATTCTCATACAATATTTCTGGTGTTCACTTTCCAAGAACATATAGGCATAATTTGACTTTCTCAGCCCTGTTTGATTAAAGTGAATGAATAAAATGTCTCAATATAAACAACACTGATAACTATTCTTCTCTGTACTCCTGTATATTATTTCACACAGCATGAGTGAATTTACTGACTATACTTTGAAAACCAGTTAGAATATCTTTTGGTAAACTGCTGACATTATTGCTGCTTATTTTTTTGGAAAACCACTTTTTTTGACAACAAAGCTTCCAATATAGAGATTAACCAAAGAGAAATTACAACCACAGCTCTTATGTTTATAACTCAAAGCACTGCAATTTTTACTAAGGTCAAGAATAATGTTCTTCTTATGTAAATATGAAGTAACAAAAGTAGTTTTACTTTTATATCAAAACAAAATAGTATTCTATCAGAAAGTTTTAAATATCATGTCTATTTATTTATTGAAATTCTGATAGGTATAGTATTTATACTGCTTCATGACATGCAGTATTTATTTTTACCCCCAAAATAATGCTACAAAGTAGGTAGAATCACAAGATTATAGATAAGGAAACTTGGGCTCACAGAGATTAAACAACTTGTCCATAGTAACATAGCAAGTTTGTGTTAAGAAGAATTTTATTTACTTTTAAATTTTTTAAATGTTTTATTTATTTCTGAGAGAGAGAGAGACAGCGTGAGCAGGAGAGGGTCAGAGAGAGAGAGGGAGATACAGAATCTGAAACAAGCTCCAGGCTCTGAGCTAGCTGTCAGCACAGAGCCCAACGTGGGGCTTGAACTCACGAACCGTGATATCATGACTTGAGCCAAAGTCAGAAGCTTAACCAACTGAGCCACCCAGGTGCCCCGTGTTAAGAAGACATTTAAACATAAGTTTGTCTGGCTCCAAAACCAGCATCTTTGCAGTGTGCCAAACACTCCCTCATACTGAACAGTATTCTTTCTACAGCATTTGAAAACAAAAACATAGCAGTTAAAGGTCATGGTTAAGTCATGAGAGACTCTTGAATGCTGACAAAAACTGAGAACTGATGGATGTAGGGGGGAGGGGGGATGGGCATGGAGGAGGGCACTCGTGGGGATGAGCACTGGGTGTTATGTGGAAACTAATTTGACAATAAACTATTTGTAAAAAAAAAAAAAAAGGAAAAAAAAAGGTCATGGTTAAGCTATTCAGTAAGACAGAATTCTTCATGACTACCAACAATATTTTGAAAATCCTTTCCAAAATTTTACTTACAGAAATTAGGAGATTTCTTAGTTAAAAAAAAAAAAAAGAGTTATGTTGCAATTTAGTAATTTAAAATAACTGTTTTTGCCTTCTCTGGTCACTAAAGTTAAATAGTAATTTTATTTTATTTTTTTATTTTTTCCCTTCATAGTTTATTGTCAAGTTGGTTTCCATATAACACCCAGTGCTCATTCCAACAAGTGCCCTCCTCCATGCCCATCACCCCCCTTCTCCTCTCCCCCACTCCCATCAGCCCTCAGTTTGTTCTCAGCATTCAAGAGTCTCTCGTGGTTTGCCTCCCTCCCTCTCCCCAACTATTTCCCCCTTTCCCTCCCCCATGGTCCTCTGTTAAGTTTCTCCTAATCCACCTATACGTGCAAACATGTGGTTTTTGCCCTTCTCTGCCTGACTTATTTCACTCAACATAACATCCTCAAGTTCCATCCACATTGCTACACATGGCCAGATTTCATTCCTTCTCATTGCCGTGTAATATTCCATTGTATAGATAAACCACATCTTCTTGATCCATTTGTCAGTTGATGGACACTTAGGCTCTATCCATGTTTTGGCTATTGTTGAGAGTGCTGCTATGAACATTGGGGTACATGTGCCCCTATGCATCAGCGCTCTTGTATCCCTTGGGTAAATTCCTAGCAGTGTTATTGCTGGGTCATAGGGGAGTTCTATTGTTAATTTTATGAGGAACCTCCACACTGTTTTCCAGAGGGATTGCACCAGTTTACATTCCCACCAACAGTGTAGGAGGGTGCCCATTTCTCCATATCCTTGCCAGCACCTAGAGTCTCCTGTTTTGTTCATTTTAGCTACTCTGACCAGTGTGAGGTAGAATCTCAGTGTGGTTTTGATCTGCATTTCCTTGATGATGAGGGATGCTGAGCATCGTTTCGTGTGTCTGTTGGCAATCTGACTGTCCTCTTTGGAGAAGTGTCTGTTCATATCTTCTGCCCATTTCTTCACTGGATTCTTTGTTTTTCAAGTGTGGAGTTTGGTGAGTTCCTTATAGATTTTGGATACTAGCCCTTTATCTGATATGCCATTTGCAACTATCTTTTCCCATTCTGTCAGTTGCCTTAAATAGTAATTTTAAAGTAGGAAGAATGAGGGGCACCTGGGTGGCTCAGTTGGTTGAGAGTCCGAGTCGGCTCAGGTCATGATCTCACGGTTCATGGGTTCAAGCCCCTCATTGGGCTCTGTGCTGACAGCTCAGAGTCTGCTTCGGATTCTCTATCTCCCTTTCTCTCTATCCCTCCCCAACTCGCACTTTGTCTCTCTCACTGTCTCTTAAAAATAAAATAAACATTAAAAAATTTAAAAAATATAAAGAAGAATGAGTTGAAGTGGGTAAACTCCAGATAATAAAACAGTATAAAATGATCATCCCCCCTCCCATGTCATTGGACACTGAGGTATAAATGTAAATATGACATGAGACTGTATGAATGTAATTTTCTCACGTAATGAATGAAATGGGAAGACGTCAGAGAGACTCGTTTTTCCTCACACATCTGCCATTATCTCAGAAGAACTTGAATATTTAAGTAAATCCCCTTCTATTCAACATGGTTGATAATTCTAAATCACTGACTTCTAGCACGATCAAATAAAAAACCTCTTTGCTTTTTAATCAGTCAGATTATATTTATAAAATGAACAGAATTAATGAAACGGCACTTTGACACTGGGGTTAACTCCGTGGATGTCAGACATCACAATGGTTCAAGGATCTTTGTGACCAAGTGTTAAACCATCACCCTTATGGATCCCTAATGAAGACAATTAGAACTGTATCATTCTTCTAAGGTACCAGGATGATAAACAGTCTGATAGTTGGGTGTCTACACCAGGGACTCAGGCTGCCAACTTTGCATTATAAACAGCTAAGTCCCATGGCTGGTCCTACCGCTAACCTTTACCAACAACATGAACTCAGTGGCAAACTGTGAAAAGATTTTTGCAGCAAGGTCTCAAATGAAGATGAATAATTTAAATTCAGACCCAACTGCTTACTGTCTCTCACTGAAAATATTAAAATAACTATTGCTTTGCGCTGGAGTAAGATAATAAAAGGATTAATAGTCAACTGTAATGACACTGTTGTTCTATATCGTCTACATGCTAACTGTTTGGTCTGCAAATGCCTTATTCATTGTGACCTTAAACATATACAGAATTGGCCTTCTATAAAACACAAACAGACATCACTGCTGCATCTTCTTCCACTCTTTTTAAATAGTATTCCTCCACATAAAATGCTGTCTCACCACCATAGACCTCCCACACGGAGTGCCTGCCTTCTGAGTAATTATATTCCTGCAGAGGCCACTACATTCTAACCTTTCTATTCCAAGTGTGGTTGGAGGGGCAGCAACATTGACATCACCTGGTAGTTTGCTGGAAACAAAAACTTCATGTCACAGCCCTTACCTACTGAATTAGAGTCTGCATTTTCACAAGGTCCCCTGGTGATTCATATGCATTCTGAAGTTTGAGAAACTCTGCTCTATACCATGTGACCCTGTCTCTCTGGCCACAAGCGATTACACCAGGGATGAGTCCCTAAGCAAAAACATGTATCCAATGGCTGGCAAGCAGTCTATGAGGTGGCTGGTGTGAGCTTTATAGAGCAGGGAGCTCAGAGTTGAACAGAGATTAGGCAACACAGATTTTTTCTCCTGAGGAGTGAAATGGGGATACACCTAAACTTTACCTTTTCTGTGAAGGCAAAGGTGACAAAAGCTGAGTGACCACAGTGCAGATGACAGGAGAAGGGAACAATAGACTTCCATGTCTAGTGACACAATAGAGAGGCTCTCGTGCGAATAGAAACAGTGCCCAGTTCTCTGGGAGGCCCACCTCAGTGGCTGCTAAGGTCGCTTTCCCGCCCTTCCTTCTTCCTGTGGAGCTTGGCAGTAAACCTCGTTAACTCAGGTAGCTTGAGAGAAA